ATATTATTATGTTTTATAACTCCCCAATTGCGTTCTAGGCAAAGATTTTCTAATTATACATGTTTACCTTGTTGGCCAAAAGCGCATCATCGTTTCTATAGCTATGACTTCGGATGGAGTAAGCTCAAGGCAATTATTACCTTCTTGAATGGACTCACCAAGTTTTATGTATCGTTGAGATCATCACTTCAGGAGATTTATTTCGAAGATCATTTGTCCCAATGTGCATCATATAGACATAGCACTGACTCATTTTTTGTTTCGCCCCCCCCCCGTCCCACAAATGTCAAAATTTGTCTCATACCCCAAGGGTTAGTTAATTTGTTTCATACGCCATTGAACTTACCCTCCACCGCCACCCAACCCCACCCCCAGTACGCATACTTTATGACCGGTCCCTAATCAAAGTTGTTGTTTGGCGAGAAATGTGGAAGCACAAAAAATCTTTGAACGGGGAAAAGACCCTTGGAAAATTACTGTTTTTAACATAAAATCACGCTCTCGACAAAGAAAAAATTACTGTAACAGCGGTGGGAGAAGCGAGGTCTGTACGGGAAAGTATTTGCCTGAGGTTTTCGTACAGACCGAGCGACGAAGGAGCGAGATATGTGCGGATAAACCGATGGCAAATACTTCCCCGTACAGACCAAGCAAAACAAAGTTAATAAACCGTTTATTATATGGCTCCTTAAACACATTTTCTGATTTTCATATAATTATTTGTTTGAGCGCTATAAAGCTTTTTTTGAGCTATGTTTTATTTGCTAGTTTTCTTCGTTTAGATTTGCTTTCGTAACCGAATATTGTTTACGGAAAAACATGTTTAACAATCGCTTTAGAGATACTTTTTCGGCAACCCCACTCCAAGAAAAAATGCTTATAAACCCAGTTTATATGATATTTGTTTAGAATATGGTTAAAGACGTTAAATTAAATTCATCTTGATTTATCTTCTGAAACAAGTAAACAAATCAAAGAATTTTCCTGCCAAAACTTACGGTTGCCAGTAAGTGTTCAAACGGCTTGTTTTCTCAGCTTTTTCGATAACATTTGTGTTGGTACAAATACTTATTAATATTTCCAAGACTTCTCATTCTTAAAAATGATCCAAGGATACTTTTTCTTCACATAACGACCTTATAAACGTGTAAAAACGTTTCAAATTCGAGCCTGTCAAATTGACAAACGGGAAACCGGTCCGGATAGGGAAAATACGGATCACAGTCCGGATACGCATTTGACGGACCGCACGTCGACAAATCACAATCCAGGATTCTGCAAAGCCATATAATAATATTTTTTATTATATGACAATGTCGTCATCTTACGAAATAAGGTCTTGAGAACGCGAAAAATCTGAGAGCGGATTACAAGGTAAAAAGCCGTATTTCCCTCGTCTAAAATCCGACTTTTTTGAGTGACAAATGACTAGGCCAAAGCCCACTCCTGACTCTAATATCATATTACGAACACTTAAACAGTAATAAAATAACGCTATAAAACTGCAAGAGTAAAACAACAAACTTGCGAGCAGTTTGACGTGTATTTGTTGAGCAAAATTGCAGCAAAAATGCTAGAAACAAAAGCTCGACGAGCTTCTAAATGTATTTCAAAAACAAGCTTCTTAACGAAAATAAATCATGACAACTTACTTGAACATTTTAGAAGTAATTGGACCGTTCAGACGTAAAATATTAGGCTCGTATAAAGCCGAAGCTTTCTTTTTGGACAGTTGTGTTTGTCTTTTTAAAGCCGTTGAATAAAAACTGAAAAACGTGATTTAGTATGCAAGTCGTGGTATTGTTCTCGGTTCGTTTGAAATAATTTGCCGTGTTCAACGCCAAATACATGCAAATCCTTCCAAAAAAGAAATGGAAATCTATTTTTTCAGGTTTGTCATATTGTAAAAATCCTATTAAATGGTTAGACATACATTCTTGACGAGATTTAACTCGTTTCTCGCATGTTCCTCGCCCTTTCAAGGTTCGGAAAAATACGTTCGAAACTCGAAAAATACTCGCCTGGACTATATGTCAAACCGTTCAATAATATATATATATATATATATATATATATATATATATATATATATATATATATATATATATATATATATATATATATATATATATATATATATATATATATATATATATATATATATATATATATATATATATATATATATACACACACACATATATATATATATATATATATATATATATATATATATATATATATATATATATATATATATATATATATATATATATATATATATATATATATATATATATATATATATAAACATTTTGTTATTCCAGCGGAAGACTTTCGACAATGTTCCCTCAAAACCTTAGTTTCCAAAACAAACGTTTTCCGCCATCTTTTTTCTCAACCATATGCACCGTTATACGTAATGGTCTCTGGTCGAGCAGCCAATCAGAATTGTAATGGTACTTAGTTAAGTGAATACTAATATAGATTAATTCACCGCTTTTGTCTTTGCTATAACAAGTTTTTGTCCCTAAACTTTTCCAGCATGCAAAATCTAATTCAAATATTGAATTTCACCACAGAACCATTGAAATCTGATATTCAAATGCTGAATCAACAAAATAATTTTCATCCTAATGAAGGAAAGGGTTTTTCACTATCGTACAACGTATTATCTTACCCAGCCTCTGGTATTAAATGGTGGAGATCTAAAGATGGAAAAGAGTATGAATTGATAACTCAGTGTTTGGCGTCAAAAAAGTGCGAGGTTCACGGAGGGAAAGAACATATCACGAAGAGAAGTTTCGAAATTCAGGATCTTAAATTTCCACAAGATAATTTCTTCTACAAATGTGATGCAAGTAATGACTATGGAAATGACTCGGAAACCTTTCAATTAGACGTTTACGGTAATGTACATATGTTATATTGAAACCACTTTCCTTTCCATACTATATGTATAGACTTAATTATACTCCTCAATTTCACACATAATATTCATTTTTGTATCTGCGTGAAACGCTAGATACTATGCTATCGAATTGCGCGTGTGTGCGTTAAACACTCAGTTCAACTGATTAATTTGGGCTATACGCCTGCGAAGTGGCCGTAAAACAAAGATGGCGGTGATGAGGTATTTATTGTGCTCTGGCTATGTATATAAGTCAAAATTCTCGTATAAAAAAAAACATTTGCATGGTTATATCCTAGAAGATTGCCCAAATTAACATCGTAAATCTTTTTCATGAGTAACCGTGCATGCTATATATATATATATATATATATATATATATATATATATATATATATATATATATATATATATATATATATATATATATATATATATATATATGCGCAGAGTGTAATGGGCCCAGAGTGCTCAAACAACCACAAGGGAAGTGAGCTTTACTGAAATAGGTTTCATTGTTCAAAATTTGGCCAAAAGGTTTATGAGGTGCATATTGCAGTTCTGTCAGATAGCATAGCGAATTTTATGCACCCGCTATTATGAATTTATACGAAAATGTGTTATTAAATACCTTTACCCAATTGCACTCCGAACACCTCTAAGGAAAGATGGTGGATCATGCGTCCATGAACTATATCGCTAATTTGTCTTCCCCTAACGTTTGTTTAATTAAGAGAACACTTGTTGAGATTTATTCTGCACGTTGTCGACCTGATGTTGATTCTGCCAAATCATTATGCACACCCGGTTTAACAGGAGATGCACACGCACTGTCGTGGGTCAGTGCATTTGTTATTGTCGTTGTGTTAGGACGTACTTTTCACCTTCGCTCGTTGTCTGCTTCATTTGATTTTATTGTCAATTCACGCGTTTACGGTGAGTATATTGAATGGTATTTAAAGATAACTTTTTTTTCTGAGTTTCCACTAAAGTTTGTTGAGATAGTGTTTTGGTGACGTATCACGAAACTAGTACAATCTGATACATTTATATCTCCAGATGATCTTGATACGCGGAAAAGTACTGGCACTAGTTGTCAAATAGAAATCCATTTTATGATTAAAACAACTGAATATCTCCTGTAATATACTTTATTTCGATTCCATATTTTTGTCAGAGCTATAGTTCTCATAACCAAACATAATTACAAAATTTCAACTAGTTTCATAAAGAATAACGAAAGATATAATTGACTGAATACATCAAAATGGATTTCTATTCGGACAACGCTTTCTGAGCGCTGATTGGCTAAAATACGAACACGAGATCACCTGGCTGATATAGCCTAACAGATATAAGTTTAAATAAAATGTGTAATATATACAATCCCGCAGTAAATTGTGCACAATAAGAATTCTGTATTGTTGTTTACAGCGTTCAATTAAACATGTGCGACAAAGATTGCGAAATAACACGGAATTGCTTTCAAACAAGCTGGTGGTATACAGTGACGAGATCAATTCACCTACGATTAAGAATAATTTATATAGCTGACATTCAAGCGGCTATGACTGAGATGATGTCCAGTTAAGACCGAACTTTTAAGTCAAAATCTCAGGTTAATCAAGATTTTCAGCAAGTGGCAGAGCAAGAAGTTCAGGACAACAGTGTTAGTGCCGCTGAAGCTGATCCATTGCCAGATAACAGCGAGGATACTCTCGTTGACAATATTTCAAACTTTGCCAAAGAAAAAGGGTCACAATCGCAAACAGATTTGAGCGAGAGCATGGTTTTTAAATCCTAAAGACTAGACCGGCAATTCGCCATGACCTTGCCACAATAGTCAATGAATTGTTGACTGAGAAGTTAACAGAAGTGAAGCTTGGATTAGTTATTACTATGATTTGATTCATTTGACTCCCGCGGTCCTCTTGGTTAGTGGATAACATGTTCACTTACGATTGAGCATGCGCTATGGCGACAATGTTTGAGAAGCTGTAACGCACTGTTGTCTAACATAAGAGAGAGAGAGAGAGGAGATTCTGTGACTTTGAGTTGAAATTCTAGGAAATTCCTTTGGAAATCCAGTAAAATACCAGACATTTTCTTCAAGAAATACAAGTTATTTTAATACAAATTTGATTTTGGCGCTATTCGGCTCATGAAAGAGTATGCAAATTTTGTAGACAGCGGAAATAAGCGACTTAAAAGGCTTGGTTGCTAAGCTAAAGTAAATATGGCCACAGAGGAGAGACATACATAGTTGTAACTAGTGCCCACTTTTTTGAGTGCATGCTCGGCAACTACGGCAAGTTACTAGATGCATGCATCTGATTGGATGACGAACTGATGACGACTTACTTTAAACTTGCTGAGCACACGCAGTTGATCATTTTCTACCCGGTCGCCTGAAAAAAAGTGGGTACATGATAACGTAATCTCAGTCCGTAGTGTTTACGGTCAGCTACGGCTCTGTATGTCTCTCCTCTGTGATATGGCGGCTTTAAGCGAATAATGGTCTTTTTTCCAAGCTGAGCGGGACATTTGCAAGCCCAGATAATGGTCAAAAGTTCTATTTTGCGGCCTGGTTTTTTATTATGGAAGAATCTTTCCTAATGCATTAAACAGATCGTAAAATAAAGATACTTGTGAGCGGTTGGCATCGACAGAATGGCCAAGTACACGGAAAGTTCAAAGCTTGGAAGTTAACAAGCAAAAGCACCGTGTTGTTTTGGCACTATTTGGCGACCCGAGGATTACAGGAAATTGCGAAAAACTTTCGCTTCATTGGGCTCTTCGACATTACTTATCAACAAGAGGTCGGCACTCAGAATTGAATTTATTAGAACTGATTTTCTTTCAAACTCAATACATTTCTTGATAGCTTTGGAAGCCATTTTGAAGCTTCAATTTCATTGGCATGCGGTATTTCGTCATGTGAAATGAATCAGATTTGTGGTAATGTGTAAGATAAGTATTTTAAAAAGCTAGAAAATTGCGACAATTTTGTCGCACTAAAAATTAATAAACCAATGTGGCAACAGCTAACAATTGTCAACATTCCCGAATTATGCCTTTTGCCTTCTTTAGAAATGTAAAAGAAGAAGTATATCACTAAATTAAATTTACTCTTTAATTAAAGCAAAGGGTAATTGCAGTAGTGCAAGGGCGTTTTAATTCAGAACACTTTACACTAACCTACTTTCCCGTACGTATTGGCCATTGGACCATTTCGATCTCGACTGCATGCATGATTGCAATTAAGAGCATGATCACATTTGTGTCCATTGTAAACTACACGTTGATTCTCTCTTGGGCGAGAAATCGGTCTAACAGTTCCATCTATATATATATACACAGTAAAAACTGATTGGTCGAAATGACCAAAAAAAATTGGTCACCTGGATGCATCTGAGAGAACCAATTAAAAATGGTCGTTTTAACCAATAAAATTAACCATTAATTAATTGGTCATTTCAACCAATAATAATTGGTTAATATAACCAAATATTTTTGGTTGTTTTGACCCATTAATAAAATGGTTAATTTTATTGGTTAAAACGACCATTTTTAATTGGTTCTCTCAGATGCATCCAGGTGACCAATTTTTTTTGGTCATTTCGACCAATTTTTTTTGTCATTTCGACCAATTTCATGTCACAACCTGTACACCGCATTAAAATGAAGAAAATTTGTGAGTCTTACATCACTGAACATGTAAACATGGAATTTAATAAAAAAATATATCAATACAATATAATAAGACAATTAAATTAACTAGAGCTACCGGTACCTTAGAACTATGTGAGAGCAATTGCAAAGGAATACAATTACAATTGCTGTGTTGAGTGGTTATATTACTACCTGAAAAAAAAAAACAAGCAGAAACTGGACATTTCTAGCGAAGGGTCTTTGCTCAAAACGTTCAGTTTCTGTTTGTTTTTTTTTTTCAGGTAGTAATATAATTACTCAGCACAGCAATTTCACATTGGTACTACCCACATTGGTACTGGTACAGACAGTTTTAATACAATTACAAGCCTGCCGACATGAATTGAACCTGCAGCCCTGCAATTCTACTGCAGCCCTCTGACTTAAAGAGTACTTTTGCCAAGATGTAACCATAACTTTCTGTATAATTATACCATGATGGTGGTGTCACTGGTAGTATATTAAATAAACTGGGATGACACTAGTATTGTATAAATGAACTCTTGGTTAGCTTGATGGATTCTTGGCGCTTGGACTCTCAGGGCTTGATGTTCCATAACCGGCACAGTACTTATTAGATAGTTATTGTTCAAAATTTCCATCTACAGAAATTTGGCTTTAACCCATTGAGTGGCAACACTCTCTCCTTCATGAGTAAAATTGTCTGGCATTAGACAGAAAAAATAATAAGGTAGAGCGCATTGCCACATAAAAGGTTAACATTCTCTTCAATGTAGAATATTTACAAGTTAGTATAATATACCTGTACTGCATGTAGTGTTGTCACTGCTCAATCAAGCATGTCATACAAGTCCATTAGTTAAAATTTAAAAGTACAAGCTTCATACCACAAGTCAGCAACTCCATTCTTTGTCAGGTTTGTTAATCCATAAACATACTCTCCAGCAAAAGAATAACATTTTCCAAATAGACTATGCAGTACTTAAAATGCCATTAATGATTATATATATTGCCACTTGCTTAGACAACTTGCCTTCTGCTGGGAAGCTTTTATTAATAACTTTTCATTCAGGATCAGGATATATAATGAATCCATATTAAATACAATCTCTATTAAGAAAATAATACATATTAAGGTTGATATATAATGGTAGCAAATTATTGATTGATTGACAATGAATTTCCTATTTTTGGTTAGTGTACAAAGCAAGAAATACAAAATTAAAATGCTTTCACTTGACATGTTTAATGTAAGGCTAGCATGCAATTGAAGTAACATCTGCATCCAATACAACTATTCTCACTGGTAAAAGACTGTTTAAAATACTGGTTGCATAACAACTGTTTTTTACAAAATTCCTAATTGAAAAATATCATTCTATATAATCCAGCAAGGCAGATTTAGTGGCTGTTTATATGAGGTGATGGCACTTGTGTACCAGAGTTGGCCCAGTTTTGGTGAGATCCAGACTTTGTTATTATATTCTATATATTTCAACTTGTGTTTTACTTTATAATATATAACTGAGCTGGACTTTTTTAGGAAGATGGGGGGCTTCGGTGGCAAAGCTGTTATATGCACTTGCCATTCACCTCTAAGGCTGCACGTTCAAGCCTCAGTGAGAACTTTCTCAATGCGACTCAAACCCAGTCCTCATGTGAAGAGTAAAAGTGAACACTCTGTCGAAAGTCATGGGTTTTCTCCAGGTACCCCGGTTTCCTCCTACAGGGAAAGTTGACAGGGTGGGTGATGTAAAAGAGCCAACAGTAATTGGCACATGCTGTTGTGGTGACACCTAGTTGGCAAAGCTAAATAAATAAACTTAAGATACTGCCACAACTGACCCAAAATGTTGCTAATGCCAAACTAAGATTTTCCATATAAACTATATACCATGACCCGGGATTTGGCACAGTATTCATGCTTTGTTTAGGCATAATGTAATCTTCTAAATGACATTTCCCAATCAATTTGAATATTAACCCATTAAGCTGTAGAGTTGGAGTTTCCCCATTGACGAGTAAAATCATTTGGCCAGAGGTGTAACTTAACACTTGCCTGGGGCAAGTGAATATCATGATGGGCAAGTAAACACTTTATCTTGCTGCCCGATTGGGCAAGTTGCCTTGCCACTATTCATTGTCAGATATATTTTGTTTTATAGTGCATGGACTTGGTTCAAATTTTGTGTGCACCAAAGCTATATCTCAGGCAGTATAACATAGCCATATAGCACAGTGGGAGAACAGGTTGACATGTTGTCGCCTTAATTTATACCCCCTACCTAGGTACCCCAAGCAGCCATTGTCTGATGGCAAGTGAATTTTATTCAGAGCAACTAATCTTTATGACCAACTTGCCCTGAGGGCAATTGGTCAAAAAAGTAAAGTTACACCACTGCTGGCGGTAGACAAGTAAATAAAATAAGTCGCACTAGGGCACATTGCGGCTCAATGGGTTAACTAGAGACATTGTCAGATTTTTTGGTTAACCCATTAAGCTGCAGAGCTTCCCTACTGAGGAGTAAAAGCGTCTGGCGTTAAGCAAGCAAAAAAAATAAGTAGGGCATACTGCGGCGCATTGTGGCTCAATGGATTAAAAGATCTCTGTGATTTTTTTTGTAAGTTACATTTCAAAACTGTCTGCAAAAGTATGTCAATTTATTTTATTGGATATTATACAACTCAGTCTGGGTGATTTGTTTTGGCAAGCATGTTCATCTAAAGAGGCTCATGTAAACAGACATTCATCCAGTGAAAACGAGCTAGAACCAGGTTAGTTACCTGGACTGGCTTGCCTTTATATATAAAGCGGCCCCTTTCACATGTTTTAGGCTGAGTGGCTGACTGATAGAGCCATACATTGGAAAAGGCTGTCTACATGCTATTAATGTGAATATATACTAAAACTGTCTTTACCAGTGTGGGTAGTACCAATGTAAATATACTACCTTAAAAAACAACTCGAGTCGACGTTTCGAAATTTATGAAGGCCCTTCGTCAATAGTGTAATTATGCATATTTCAAACAAATCACATTATAAAAGTATACATGTCAAGTGTCAACATAGCAAATACTTAACAGAACAACACATATGTACAGGGTGTCTCAAAAAAACCCAAAATCATTGAAATTGACGTATTGTTCGATATTCAATGCCTAGCTAGCACTAAGTTAATCCCACGAGTGCATAAAAGATTGACATAACTGCTATAATGAATGGTAATACTCAGCGTAAACTTGTTATGTCAGGCATAAAGTACTAAACCCACGAATTTACGAAGCATTTTTAAATTCCCATGAGCAAACAAACGTTCACTTTACAAAGATATTTTAATTTTTTAAAACAAATTAATCACCCTGTCAAAATCCTTTGTGTTACGGCATTGAAATTCGAACAATACGTTATTTCAATGATTTTGGTTTTTTTTGAGACACCCTGTATATCACAGAAATAAGCCGTATACGGTTTTCTTAACAATACAGATAAGTAGAGACTGTTATGTAAATCGAAATTTACAACTGAACGTTTAGATGCCTTCGTAAAATCGGCACAAAGCGACTATAAAATACAGGCCTTCGATTTAAAAATATAACTACACAGTGTGTCAAGTAACTACCCGCATACAAATAAGTAAATACACAAGAGACATACCTTTGAAAACAATCTCCTTGCGTTCTATTAAGTCTTTCGATCTTTATAAGCAGAAAATTTGAATATAAATCTTTCCTGTTTGAATGTTTGCTCCCAAAGATCGAACTTAGCGCACTGGTGTGTAGGCCTGGATAAATTATGCTCGAAAATTCAGCTATTATGCCCAGAAGCAGTGCTCGTTAAATCAACTATTATGCTCACAAAAAAACCTATTATGCTCGAATTATGCTCGAAGAAAATTCAATTCCAACATGCACATCCGCTGATTCCCGGCCCCCGGGCCCCGGGGCGGGCCCGTGTTAAAAATACTCAAACATGAAAACATGAGAAGTGGTAACTGTTAACTCCCAACTGTAACAATGTATGAAATATGAATACAACAATGTTTCTAGGTTCCTAATTCCTAAATCCTAACAGACTAGTCTAACAGGAGTAACAGGTCCTGTGGCTGTAGGCTGTAGACTGTAGAGTGTAGTAATGTATATTACTAAGACTATTAGTCTATCAGTCAATCAGGATTCAGGACCATCAGTCCATCACTAATACTATCAGATAATCAGATAATACTAATAGTTTATCATCATTCATCACAATCATCACCGTCCAAGGCCGCGTCCATTGTATTGCAGCATCAGGGATGTTTCAATATAATCTTCCAGTGCTGAATCTTGCTGTACATGTTCATTGAAGGATGCTTTCAGGAGAGAAAAGGCTCGTTCTGCTGCAGCAGACGAAGGCTGGCAGAGGAAAATCTTTCGTGCTTCCCTTGACCATCTGGGCAAAACGTCCTCATGTCTTTTCCACCAAGCAAGGATGTCATCGTTATGAACCCCAGTTGACGCAGCCAGGTATGCAGGTAGCTCCGCAACTAGTCCATCCAGATCAGTGTTACTTATGAATGTAAAGTTTCCAAGCTCTTTGACATCTGCAACTGTAGGTACCAAGTCATTAACCCTTCTAGGGTCAACTAACCGTGCTGCTTTGAAGCAAGACAGTGGCTGTGACAGATTATCTGCATTTGCAAAGGTGTCCAGAAAGTAGTTAAATCCTGGCTGGACACACTGACAAGCATAATCTTGCCACTGTTCTTGGTCGCGTTGATCTGGACCATCTGTGGCAGCTAATTCAGAGGAAATCTGTGTTACATTTGGCATGTGCATCAATCTCACACAGTTTGCAAGTTCGATGATAGCATCATAAGCTTCCAGTACCAAAGGACCGTCCCCTTCGAGGCTGTATGTCTTCTTCACGAATGGTTCACCTGCATCAACAGTTGCTGCGATCTCTATCTTCAGCTTGGCTTCAGAGTTTGCGATTATGTCCAGTAGCTTCCTTGTTGTGGCTGGAGCAGTGCCAGTATCCCTATTTGCAGTCAGGAAGGCTGTGACATGGGGGTAGAAAAGGAATAAGTCCTGTTTAATGCATTCCCATTGGCTCCACCATCTTGTTGGTGAGTACGTCGTGAGACTTTTTCCAGTACGATCTTTCCACAGAAGTTTGGCATGTGGTGAGTGTGCAAATAGTGAGACCCAGTGCTTGATGAATTTGGTGAGAACAGGAGTATCGAACTTCTCTCCCACATGATCAAGAGTGTGAGAAAAGCAACCAATATCTAGAATATTGGGGAAAATCACCTTAATAGTTCTCACTGCTACATTGTTAACACTGGCCCTATCACGCATAGTAGCAACCGGTAGCTCTGTGGCAACACCATACTCTCTGGCAAGAACACTGATGATCTCCCTTGCAACTTCTTCTCCTGCTAAAGAGTTAGCAAGCAAGAGAAATCGCAAAAGCCTCTGTTGGATTTTCCACTCACTGTCGAGGAATCTAACAATAATAACTAATGCTCCTCCTAGCCTGGTGGTACCATCAAACACAATCGATATCTCTCTTCCTGTCAGTTCTTCAAGAGTGTTTTTTTTCTCCTCCTGGTGTACCACGGGAATCAGCTAGGCCATGTTTGTTCGATCTGTCAGTTTATAAGCTGACTCTTCTAAGATACTTCTGAAGCAATTTATCTTATTAATGGCTATTCCAGCCTTCATGAAGGCTGTTACAACTTTAAGACGAAATACTCTGGTATTCATACTCAATGTTTCCCCTATCGGATGGTTTTCTTCGTCATATGCGCGTAGAACTTCTGCCAGATCTCTCTCACGTTTTGCCTTTTGGTGTAATTTCTCTTTTCCAGACAGATGTTTGTGAGTGTTTATATGATTTATGATAGTTGATCTCTTAACTGATATTTCTTCGCGACATGCTTCACAAAAAAATGCTCCCTTGCGAATCGCAGTATCCTTGAAGCATTCTTGTGGAAATTCTTGGATTCTTACAGCTACAGAAACATTTGGGGCAGTTGAAGTCTTAGCATGTACAATGCGAGTTTGATGTTTGCGTGGATTAACATTGACTTTACGTTTACGAGCCAGGTCTGACTTTCTGGGAGCTCTTAATAAAGTCAAAGCATTGACAACCAACTCATTATTTCCTTGTCCTTGCCCCTCTTGAACCTCTTCGCCATCTTCATCGTCGTCAAACTCGCCGTCGTCGTCGACAATGACCATGTTTTCGTTATTCTCATCTCGATCCGCCATCTTTGTTTACTAATTACTAGTGCCCGGCCCCCCGGGCACGAATAATTAGTAAACAAAGTTAGAAATTTCTTTTAATTTCTTTTTTCAAAATTAGAAATTTCTTTCCAAATTTTTCTGGCCAAAGACGAAACTATTATTTTTTTAACATTATGCCGGAATTAATAGCATTATGCCGCATTATGCTCGCAATGCTCGAAAGTGCTCATTATGCTCCTGAAGACCTATTATGCTCGAAATTATGCCGGCATAATTTATCCAGGCCTACTGGTGTGAAAAGATTGAATTACTACAACACGTGATATATTCTAAGCATGGTAATTGGTTGAAACTTTGAAACTTCCACTTGGCGCAAATTATATTCAGCAGAATTCAGCAGCAGGACTTTCCACAAGTTCAAATTACAGATTTACGCAGCAAATAAAAAATAAACAACTGATATACTGAGAGCAATGACAGTAAATTAATTTGACGAGAAAAACTCGATCGTCGCGCGCGATTGAACAATAACAAGCCGATACTGGTAATATTAAAAGCAATCTGACTTGGCAACATTTACGAAAAAGCGCGTCAACCAGCTAGATCTTGTGTCTTTGTCGGATGATTTTACACGAACTGCAGGCTTTCACTATACGAATTTGTATAGCAAATATCGCCCTAATTCAAGGACAGGTTGAAGAAACTTCAATATAGTTTCGGCCATTCCTATGGATTTGTTGGGAACGAACCCAACCGAATGTCGTTTATATATCAAATAATAATCACCACGTCATTACACTTTATTTACTCTCAAATTTAGTTTATTCTAAGCAGTACATCATGACAAATATCTTGTACATATCAAATATCCATGCATCATTCTGTCCTCGATTCTGTCCGTATTTCGACTAATATCGGTCGTAAACAAAGGTTTGCTACATAGAATTACAAATAACGTTCATTAACAACAAGTTCAATTGTTTCAAAGTCAAAATGAAAGAAATACTTACATCTTATGGCGATTTTAAAGCAGATTACGTTTGTATATCTATCACGAATATCAATAGTTTTCCAAAAAGCTTCGCTCGCGAAGACTGGCCCTAAATTAATTATGCTAATGTCAACAAACGGCGCGAAATAATTAGATTAATTATAGTAGCGTCCGTAACATCCCGGCCCCCCAATGAGCGTATCACGTTAGCTCATTTACCACCTTTATTCGTCAGCCTCCAGGAAGGACAACTTCTGAATTGGACGTTTCAAAACATTGTTTTTCGTTTTCACTTCGGCGACTCTGACAAGACCATCCTTTCCAGGAAACACCTTCGTCACTCTTCCAAGTAGCCAATGTCCTCGTTGAAGTTTCTCGTCTACCAGGAGTACAAGATCACCAACTGCTAAATTTCGTTGTGGTGTAAGCCATTTTTGTCTTTGTTGTAAAGTTGGTAGATACTCATGTAACCACCGTTTCCAAAAATGATCGCTCAAAATTTGTGATTGTCTCCAACTCTTTCTGCTATACAAATCAGCATCGTCAAATTTTCCAGGAGGTAGAGTAATCGCTGGTCTTTGAAGTAACAGATGATTCGGAGTTAACGGCTCCATGTCCCAAGGATCGTCCGAGTTCGGGCACAGAGGTCTGGAATTGGCAATCCCTTGGGCTTCTGATAACACCGTTCTCAAGACTTCCTCTTTAACTAATGTCTTTCCTAGGATAGCCTTCAACGATTGTTTAACACCACGAATCAGTCTCTCCCACACTCCCGACATATGGGACGCTAATGGCGGGTGGAAAATCCATTCTACTCCGGTTTGTCTTAAATGCTCTTCAATCTGATTTTGATTCCACCTTTCTAAAGCTTCACGTAACTCGCGCTCTGCGCCCACGAAATTTGTACCGTTATCTGAACGCAGTTG